TTTATCCCTCTAACTGGGTAAGTGGGTCAACCCCCAGATTAGTTGCTGTAGACTCTGGCTCACCCTAAAAAACCGCCCTCCCTCTACGGCTGGCGCTTCCTCTACACGGGAAAACAGAGTAAGCAAACGGGACCTCTCTCAGAAATTTGTTTGGTCTCCTCTCCAGCCATGAAGCTATAAAAAGACTCCTGGAATTGCAGAATTGGAACGGGACCCCCAAAGGTCATCCAGTCCAACCCTGCTGCAATGCAGGAATCGCAGCCAAATAATCCCTGACAGGTGGCTGCCCAAGCTCTGTTTAAAAATTTCCCATGAAGGAGGGAGATGTCTGCCATTGGGGGTTGAACCCAGGACCTTCTGCGTGCCAAGCAGGTGTTCTGCCACTGAGCTACAGCTCTGCCCTTTTTTTAAAAAAAGAGGAAGCCGCTAGTCCTCATTGTTTAGATTTAGACAGGAATGTTTAATCGTGCTTTCAAGCAGAGGGCGCCTTCAGCCAGAAGGCTGTCCTCTGTAAAACTGGATTTATATCCTGAACAGTGGGTTTAAGTAATTGTAATAAAATAAAACAGCACAAGCCCCCCTTGCAAGATCCTTTTCTGCCAGGCGAAAAGGAGGCAGGCGGCTGTGGCTTCCCTAGAAAACAGTGGGGAGGAGAGGAGAGCCTTCCAAGGAGAGAGTCGCGTTCGTGCAGTAAACAGAATTAGATATGACCAGTGGGGGAGAGAGAGAGAAAGTGAAGGACTGTAATTATATCTTAAACGCTCACAGGATCTCCCATTAATACCCTGCCTGTCATTACTGCTCATTATGCTGCAGAAAAGAACCAGATGGGGTCCCTTTAGAAATGGGTTCATTTTCTCCCCAAACGGACCTAATCCTCGATGTGAGTCCGTCATTAAGTGGGCAGATGTGGGTGGGGTCTCCCTTCTCTCCCACCCCCTCTGCAAGTTATGTGGGGAGCAGGGGCGGAGGCGGCTGGCAACTCAGTGGGACTGATGAGTCAGAAGGGAGGGAGCCCGACAGGAGGTGGAGCTAGAGACAACGAGAGGCGGAGCCAGAGGCAACGAGAGGAGGAGCCAGAGGCAACGAGAGGCGGAGCCAAAGGCAACAAGAGGAGGAGCCACAGGCAATGAAAGGCGGAGCCACAGGCAATGAGAGGCGGAGCCACAGGCAATGAGAGGTGGAGCCACAGGCAATGAGAGGTGGAGCCACAGGCAATGAGAGGCGGAGCCACAGGCAATGAGAGGAGGAGCCACAGGCAACAAGAGGCGGAGCCAGAGGCAATGAGAGGCGGAGCTAAAGGCAACAAGGGGGGGAGCCAGAGGCAACAAGAGGAGGAGCCACAGGCAATGAGAGACTGAGTCAGTGGCAACAAGAGGAGGAGCCAGACAAAAATGGAAACAGCAGGAACTACAGCACTGGAAGATTGGCAGGTTAAGATGGTGGAGTACGTAGAGATGGCCAAATTGACGGGGAAGATCCAGAATCAGCGTGACAAACTGTTTCAAAAGGACTAGAACAAATTTATACTTTATATGAAAGAAAATTGTAAACATCTGAAAACATTTGTAGGCTTGAACTGAAATGTTTTTTAATGATATGATTTAAAAAGTTCATTTCTTTTAAAGAAGGTAAACTTGTGATTATAGAAATGCGAAGAATATAGAAAGGTGCGTGGAAGTCAGAAGAGGGAGGGAAGGAGGTCGATGCTCTTATAGAGTAATGTATTAAGTTATAGAATTATGTAACAAAATGTGATTATGATAAAAGTGGAAAAATGAATAAAAATCATTTTTAAAAAGAGAGAGAGAGGTGGAGCAACAAGAGGAGTCAGTGTCAACGAGAGGTGGAGCCAACTCATTCTAGTTTTGTCCCCATTTCCCTCCTCCATTTTGCTGAGTTCTGCAAGGGGCAACTCTGCGGGCTCGGAGGAGGAAGCTGTGATGGGCAGGGCTGGTTGTGTGAAGGATGGAAGGCAGCCTTTTCATGTGGGGTGTCATGCACTGGCTGGATGCTGAGGAGGGGTCAGAGGCACCAACTGGGGAACCCCCAAGGGAGAAAATTCAGGGCCCGGAGATTGATGGTGAGATGATGATCAGTGGTCAGAGGGAGAAGAGGGGGCCGACTGGAGGGAGGAGGTGTCGGAATCTGAAGAGGCAACAGGGCTGAGTGAGCAGGGAGAGTTGGTGGCAGAGAGCGGTTCAGGATCAGAGGCAGAAGCAGAGGCTGGAGAGGACAGTGGGCAAGAAGCAGAGATGAGGCAGGCTTCTGAAGAAGCCAGGAGGCTGCAGCTGGCTCTTCTCCCTGCTGGTCTCCCAGAACCAGAAGAGGCATGACAAGGGAAGAGCAACGAGAGACAAGACGGCGGAGCCTTAGATTTCTGGGGAAGGAACGGGGAGGGGAGCATCAGAGAGCGGTGGCAAGGCAGGGACCTTCAGCCCTTGTAACTGCTGCATTGGGGCAAGACCTACTAGGAAGGGTTACTGAACTGAACTGTTTTGGTTTCTTGGAATAAGGAGTTAACTTCACTGGCACAGTTTTTTATTGCTAACACTCTCCTGGTCCGGCTCCTGACACAGGGTGACTAGCTGCCCCTAAATGCAAAGTAAGATTCTAGTCCTCAGGCTACTGAATAAAGGGCTGAATTAAAGTTTAACTAATTATTATTTCAGTCCATCTCAAAGCATTATTTAAGATTCTGCACTGTATTTTGGTCTCGTTTCGTATTTTCATGTGCATCATGATTTAGTACACATTATTTTGTTTGTATCTATTGGCTTAACACCAAATCAGCTATGGTGCGTGAAACACTCAGGAAGGCTCAGGATTTGAACTCACGTCTCGGGGGCTACAGGTGCAAGGCTCTGTACAGAGCTAAGTACATTTAGGTACCCTAGAATTTGTTTTCCTAATAAATTTCCCTTGTAGCTGTTGATCATCTCTATTGCTCACTCTCACGGGGAGCGTAGTTTATGGTTGGGGATCTTAGTCTTATTTATCCATTGCTTTGCATAAAATATTTGCAAATTGCTTGGGGATGCACAAAGTCCATTATAGTGAAATATTACACACACACACACACACACACACACACCAATTTTCTCTTTACATTCATTTCCCCGCAGTGCTTCATTTGAAAACAAATAAGAAAACCTCCCTGGTTTTTCCTTTAGCTTAAATGGGATAGTCTTGACTCTGTTGCTAGTCCTACTCAAGAGTAGTCCCATAACTGTGGCGGCACAGTACAGTTATTGTGGCTAGTAGCCCTCTCCTCCTCCATGAATTTACCCAAACCTTTTTTTAAAAAGCCATCCCAGTTTATGCGTCCTGTGGCAAGGAGTTCTGCAGTTCAACTCTGTCCTGAATCTCCCAACATTCAGCTTCACTGCTTCCCCGCAAGTTCTGGTTTTAGAAAAAAGGAAACAAAAACTCCTTTCTCCATTTGCTTTCTCCATGCCCTGCATCATTTTATAAATGGCTTATATCTTGTCAAATCTTCCTCGCCTTTTCTCCAAACTAAAACGCCCCAAACACTGCCATCTCTTTTTGCAGGAGCATGGCTCCCTTTCCTCGATCATTCAGGTTCCCTTTCTCTGAACTTTTCCCAACTTTTCGATCTCCCTTTTCAGGTGGGGCAACCAGAACGGCACACGGTATTCCACGCGCGGCCGAAACCATCGGTTTGTATAACAGCATTATGGGTACTTGGCTCAATGGGTCTCGGGACAATTTGGAAACACAGGAAGCTGCCTCCCGTGGGGTCAAACCATGGGTCCCATCTTGCCTGGACCTTTCCAAACTGGGAGGTGGGACACAGGGTCCGGAAGTTGTCAGTCTCTCGATTCCCATCCTCCTTCCTGTCTGCTGTCCATTGTTGTCTGCTGGGAGCAGAAGTCTGACCATTTCTGGGGCGGGGGCTCTAGACTGCACCCCCAACCACTACTCCTGGGCTAAACAAGTCAACTTAATAATTTGTGGAGTGGGGTGTGTGTGTGAGAGAGATAAATAAAAGATCTGGAGACAGTGGTGGAGGGCCACCCCAGCTAATTTCACCAGGATTTGGCAGAGCAAAATGTGGGTTAATACAGACTTGCCTTTGTAACCCACTTTCGGGGAGATATTTAAGTCTGGGGTCTGGTCAGAGGGCTGTCTCTGCAACAGGCGTCTCGCTCGAGAGGAAAACCTTCGCTGCCTCTTCTGCCCCCACCCCTGGTAGGCAGCATAGTTTCTTATTTGTGGCTTAGGGCCCTCGTATTTACGGGACCGCCTCTCCTGGTATGCCCCGCAGAGGACCTTAAGGTCCATGAACAACCGTAGTTTAGAGGTCCCGGGCCATAAGGAAGTCAGACTATCCTCCACCAGGGCCAGGGCCTTCTCAGTGATGGCCCCAACCTGGTGGAATGCTCTACCCCATGAGACTAGGGCCGTGCAGGATTTAACCTCCTTCCGCAGGGCCTGTAAGACAGAGCTATTCTGCCTGGCTTTCAATTTGAACTTAGCCTGATCTTTTATTTCCCTTCCCTCCCCTTTTATGAAGATCACCTGCTCTGAGACCCCACAGCTAATTCTCCCCTGGCCTCCCTGCTGGCCCAAGTAGGACTAATTCAGCCAGCTAGCCCTGGGGATTATCTAATGCTTATTTCCCCTAAATTGATTTTTGAATTTTATTGCTAGTCATGTTTTTATACTGTATTTTATGCTGCTTTTTTAATTGTTTTAAATTTGTTGTTAGCCGCCCTGAGCCCGGTATTTGAACTGGGAAGGGCGGGGTATAAATAAATAAATTATTATTATTATTATATTTATTATTTCGAGAACAAGAAACCTTCTGGGTGCCGCGATGACGTGTAAGGCTGTTAGCTGAAGAAAATGGGCAGGACTAAGTGAGGCCCATGCATTTCCATAGGTCTACTCCGAGCAAGACCCAGTTGAATGCCGGGTGCCCGTCACCCGCCAGGAACTGCTGCCCCCCCCGGGGTGGGGCTTGGGGTACTGCTCACCTTTTTGTGTTGTGGATGGTGGTACCGCCCAGCACAATCCGGACCCCGGGGTTGTGCGGTTCAAGTTGTAAACAGTCAGCGCCTCCTCGTACGTGGCTCCTCCAATCATGAACACAATGATGTCTTGAGGCCTGTGACGGAGAGAGGAAGAGAGAGAGTCATTTCTGGAGGCAATTCAGAGCGCTAATTCTAACGTTTTAAGGACCAAAAAATCCGGAAGGATGAGTCCAGTTGGAGTCCAGCAAGGTCTAGATCAGGGTTTCACAAAACTTGGGTCTCCAGCTGCCTTTGGACTACAAATCCCATCACCCACTGTTCCTGCTTGCTATGGATGATGGGAGTTGTAGTCTTGGGGAAACCTTGGCCCAAACGGTACCAGGTTGAGGAAGCCTGCCTGAAATGGCTTTTGGGGCCCAGAATACCTTCCCGCCAGACCAGCCTGCCCACCCCACATTAAGCGGGGAGACCATCGTCTGACCCGCAATGATAAACTGTGGTTTGCTCAAGAAACAGCGAGTTAACTAGGAGCAATTCCACAGATGATTAAACACACCATGGTTTGTTTTTCCAAAGACAAAACCCTTGGAAACCTTGGCAGGTGTCAGGAACAGGGAGGCCAAACAAACCACAGTGAAGAGTGTCAAGGTTATGCAAAACACCAAGCGTACAGACAAACCTATGGATGATTAATATTATAATTGTGTTTGGGGGGTATTGTTTGGTTGTTTTTGTTTTAACTATTTATTTGTGCTTTTGCCTGGGTTTTTTTAACCTTGTGAACCGCTCTGAGATTGTATGCTGAAGGGCCGTATCTAATAAATCAATAAAGCAAACCAAGGTTTCGAAGGCCAACAGCAAACCATGGTTTCAGGTGGCTGCTTGCTGCCAGTTAAACAAACCACTGTTAAGCTACTGGGTAGGATTGGCCAATCAAGCCAACCACGGTTTGACAAATCATCGCTTAATAAACCACAGCTTAGTTGTTATATAGGCAAACGAATATGCACCCCAGCTTCTGGAGAAAGTGAAGATTATCTGGGGCAAAGAAACCTGTGTTGCTTTTCATCCGGTGGTTTCAATTTAGAGTGGCAATTTGGGTATATTTCGCAGGTGACGCTTTGGATACGTTAGTTGAGATTCCTGCATAGCAGCGGGGTGGACTGGATGACCCTTAAGGTGCCTTCCAATTCTACAATAGTATGATCAAAACAGGATGTGAAAGGAGCAGAGGGGTGAGAGCATTTGCGTAGGTAAGAGGAAGCCAAAAGGCTTCCAGAAAACGGGGAGAGCTGTGAAGCGGAGATATTTGGAAACAGCAAAGTGATCGGCAAGTGGTCAGAAGTTCATACAGACTAATAAATAATAATAATAATAATAATAATAATAATAATAATAATAATAATAATAATAATAATTTATTTATACCCTGCCCTTCCCGGTTCAGAAAATCAGGCTCAGGGAGGCTAACAACAAAACACTTAATTGATGCAACAAAAAACAGCATAAAATACAGTATAAAACGTGAATAGCAAGAAATTCAGAATTCAAAAATCAATTTGGGGGGGGGGGGAAATCCATCCAATAAACATTACATGATCACCAGGGCTAGCTGGCAAAATTAGTCCTGTTTGGGCCAGGGAGGAGACCAGGGGAGAATTAGCTGCCATAACAACAACAACGATAATAATAATAATAATAATAATAATAATAATAATAATAATACCCTGCCCATCTGGCTGGGTTTCCCCAGGCACTCTTATGTGGGACCACTGGGTCCATCCATCTATCTCAGTATTGACTACACTGACTGGCAGCAACTCTCCAGGGCTTCAGGTGGGGGGGCTTGCCTAGCCTGACCTGGAGATGCATTGCAGTGGGTTGGACTAGATGACCCCCTGGTGTCCCTTTCAACTCCAGGATCCTATGCCCCTGGGGACTGAATTTGGGATTTCCAGGTGTGCCAAGCAGGTGCTTTGCCCCTGAGTTGAAGCCCGAACTGGCTAAAAATGCAGAGTGTGTGTGTGTCCAGTCTGCACTCCCTGCCTTGACCTCTTGCCTCCCCCAGTTTCCCAGCATCACAGTTACCGTATTTTTCGCTCCATAAGACACACTTTTTTCCTCCTAAAAAGTAGGCGGAAATGTCTGTGCGTCTTATGGAGTGAATGCCTGTGAACGGCAGCGGGATCCCGCTGCAGTCGCAAGCGGTGGATCCATGGCTCCCCTTCCTTCCGTCTTCCGTGGCTCGCTTTAAAGCAGCAAAGCGGGAGAGGAGCCGCTTACACAAGAGGAGGCTGCTGGGGTTCCTGTGTCGGGTCCGTCCAGGGGCGTGCTGCCTCCCCGCTCATCGCTCCTTGAGCGCGCACACTAAAGAAACATACAACTCCTTTCCCTCTCACTCTCATTCTGATATACCGGTAGTTTATTAAATAGTTTAGTACAACGTTTGATTCAGAATATTTTCCCCCCGTTTTCCTCCTCTAAAAACTAGGTGTGTCTTATGGCCAGATGTGTCTTATGGAGCGAAAATACGGTATGTCTCCACCTTTTACTCTGAGCAAGGCTAGCGCTGGAAGCAACCCACAATGCGATGGAAGAGTCTGACATCTTCTTCCCCCTGCAAATAGGGGCTGCCTTGTCCCAGAAAGGGAAGGTAAAGGTAAAGGGACCCCTGACCATTAGGTCTAGTCGTGGCCGACTCTGGGGTTGCAGCGCTCATCTCTATTGGCCGAGGGAGCCGGTGTACAGCCTCTGGGTCATGTGGCCAGCATGACTAAGCCGCTTCTGGCAAACCAGAGCAGCGCACAGAAACGCCGTTTACCTTCCCACCAGAGTGGTATCTATTTATCTACTTGCACTTTGACGTGCTTTCAAACTGCTAGGTTGGCAGGAGCAGGGATCGAGCAACGGGAGCTCACCCTGTTGCGGGGATTCGAACCGCTGACCTTCTGATTGGCAAGCCCTAGGCTGTGTGGTTTAACCCACAGCGCCACCCACGTCCCTTAGAAAGGGAAGGAGAAGGTGTCAAACACTTTCTCCCCTCCCTCCGCCCCCTGGAAACACAGATGAGAGTGTCCCCGCCCTGGGCCTGCTCAGATCCCCAAGAACTGGGGCAACCGGATCCAGTGACAGAGAGAGAGAGAGACGGACAGATGCTTGGTTTTTTTGTTTAATAATTAAAAGGAAAAACCCGTCCCCCAAGCTGTCTCTTGTAACTGATGAAGTCCACCAGCTTTCATAGGATGAGGGAGCTCATCAGATGGTCAGACCTGCCCCCCCTCCACCGCAATATGGGTTCGCACCCCCTAAACACACACACACACACACACACACACACACACACACACGGTTTTGTTACAGCTCATATCACAAGAATGCTTACTCACTGGGGACCAGGAGGATGAAGGGAGAATGAAATCCAAACATGGACACCCCCTTAAAAACCCCACACCTCTTTCATGCTCCCGTTCCACACAGGTTAGCAACTTCAGCCCATTCAAAGATTCAGGCCCAGAGCCCTGAATCGCACAGCGCCGTTTGCAAAGATCACTTGACAGAGGTAAGAGATGCAAATTCCGAATTTGAACGTCGCGAGCCCTTCCTCAATGCCCACATCTGAACCACACATCTCCCGGGTCGGTTCTCCAGATGCATTTGAACCCCATTTTTGGATTGGAGCTTTCTCGTCCCTTGCAAATTTTCCCTATCTGCTTTTAAAGCGGTTCAAGCGGGTGGCCATCGCTGCCTCCTGTGGCAGTGAGTTCCGCAGTTTAAGGGCGGGATGCAAACTGAATAAACAACAACAACAAAACAACAACAACAACAATGCACACAGTTTGCAGAATGCGGGTTTCCTTTCACAGCAGGCTTTGAAAATCCCTTTTTAAAAGCAGAGGGTCCCCAGCTTTTCCGCTATCGAACGCTGGTTCCTGGGCCGTTGCCAGAGACTTGCCGTAAACCAGTCACTGAGACCAACCCGGGATCAGATCGTTCCTCTATCCCTCCCCGCCCACGGAAGATTAAGAAGTCCCGCAGTGAACGGACAGGCTGTTCTGGCCAAAGGTCAGCATTGGAAACAATACAAAAAGGCGGCTGTGAATCTCCTAAGGCGCTACTTTAAGAATAAAATGCAATGTAACTAGGACATTCCCAGCTTCTCACGGCAGAGGAGATGCTTACACGGGTGTCGAAAAGCACTGGAATATTAGCCTTTTTTGCCATTCTAGGCTTCATCAGTAGAACAGGCTCATATGTAATATTACAGGATGGTGGATCTTATAGTTGCAAGATCAACTATCCTGTGATATTACATATGAGCCTGTTCTACTGATGAAGCCTAGGATGGCGAAGCAAGGCTAATATTCCAAAAATCCTTGTCTTAGACTCTGTGGAACTGTAACAACCCTTCATGTGGATTATTGGACTCTATGAACAGACAGGTGGAATAAATTCTTATACGTGTATGGACCTTATGCATGAACTGACCAGAGAATGAACTGATCCACTGGCTTTTTTCGTTGAACTTTATGAGACTTCCGTTGAAATCTACAATTTGACACAATGAATATTATACAGTGGTACCTCGGGTTAAGTACTTAATTCGTCCTGGAGGTCTGTTCTTAACCTGAAACTGTTCTTAACTTGAAGCACCACTTTAGCTAATGGGGCCTCCTGCTGCTGCCGCGCCGCCGGAGCACAATTTCTGTTCTCATCCTGAAGCAAAGTTATTAACCTGAAGCACTACTTCTGGGTTAGCAGAGTCTGTAACCTGAGGTACCACAGTACCTCATTTATTCAAAGTACAGCTGGTTAGTTGTTTATAAACTTTGGAAAATCAATAAAACCTTTGATTAAAAAAAATAATTGCGAGGAGGAGCCAATTTCTGAAGTGAAATTTGTACTCAAATTCCATTAATTAGCCAATAATAATAATAATAATAATATTTTCTTATCGTCATATCAAAATAAATTGTTGCTGCTGTTGATTTATTATCAAAAGTACAGCTGGTTACGTCTTGCGTGTTTATATAGAAAGTAAACACAGACACGTGATGTAACAATCACACAACCAGCAACGGAGGAGTGGAATGCTAACAGGTGGGGCTGCACCAGAGATCTTAACCTTTGTGTCAAGTGGGCTTCCTACACACACAGCTCTCTGTCCCAAGAGCTCGCAGTTGGTAGAGCGTGAGCTTCTTCATCTCAGGGTGTGATGGCCTGGGAATCAGATTCAGAGGCTGAACCTGAGGAATCCCAGCCTGCACAGGATTCCCCGCCTCCAGAACCAGCTGAGCCGGGGCTGGGGCCTGAGCCTGAAGGGTCCTCACCTGTGCTGGATCCTCAGGTGCAGGCCTGAGCCTGAAGGGTCCTCACCTGTGCTGGATCCTCAGGTGCAGGCATCAGTTTGCTCTGGCTCCAGAGGTGATTGAGGACCCATTGCCTGCAGGTGCTCCACTCTCAGCCCCGTCAGGGGAAGAGGAGGTTGCCTCTGGGTCTGGTAACCCTCCAGCCTCTCCTGAGCTGCAGAGGCTCAGGGCAGAGAGGCGGAGGGAACTAAGTTCCTGCAGGAGGAGGGCTCACCTCCAGGCCAGGAGAGGCGAGTCACCTGTGGAGTGGGGCCGCCCTATGCCTCGGGGCAGATAAAAGCCAGCCAGCCCCAGTCCCAGGTTGCAGGAGCAACATTGTTGGTACCTGTTCCTGCCTGCACCCTGTCCTGCTCTCCTGCCTGAGCTCCTGACTCCTCCCGACTCCCCGCCTTGGACCCAGCTACAGCTTTGACGGACAGCCTCCATACTGCACCATTGACCTCGGACTGGACTCGCACCTCGCCTCTCGGTTAGCCCCCAGGATCAGCACACATGGGTTCGAGTCCTACCCTGGGCAAAAGATTCCTGCATTGCGAAGGGGTTGGGCCAGATGGCCTTTGTGTCCCCTTCCGACTCGTTTGATTCTACGATCCGGGAAGACGAGAAGCATTGTGAAAGCTGAAGGACTATGGGAGGGTGCCTGCAAAACATGTGGCCGGGGGAAAATCTGGATTTGACCCCCTTAAAGTGGGATTCCTTATCCATAGTTCGAAAAGAACACAGCTCCCCCCGCCCTCAAAATGAGGTTCAGGAAAAGGGGAGAAGGGTCTGTGGTTCTGTAGTACAGAACTCCGATGCATCTGATGAGAGTTTTAATAAAAAAAATAAAAAATTCCCCGGGGCAAGGTGGAACATTTTGTCATGAATGGTGTCCACGCTTCGCAGCTCCGCTGACAGCTTCATAGCCCATTCATCACTCCAGTTACCAACAAGGAAAAGGAGTTATGAGCTCACAAGAGGCAAACTACGGATCGTTTTGGGCCTGCCAGGAAACGTTCTCAAATTATCTTTGGGTAGGGGAAGGGGAGGCGGGTGGTCACACACAGCGCCCCTCTGGAAAAATATTAATGGCGGGTTTTCAGCTCCTTCCGAGCCAGACAGAAAGGTCCCTTTCTGCAAGTTTGTCTGACAGATAAGAAAAGGACAGCGTCGTAAATTTTGAGACAGGCCTGCTTTTTCCAGGAGCGAGACGCACGGCTAATCCGCGGGGAACCTCTCCTTTATCAGACCTGTCTGGAATCCAGATTGATTCATCCCCCCCCCCCATCCCAGCCTTCAAATCTCAGTTTCAGTAACTTTCCACCCTCCCAGCAGCTCTCGGCACCCTTAATTTTAGTACGTATTTTGTGTGTTTTTATATTGTTCATTTTATGTTGTGAACCACCCTGAGATTTACGGGCAAAGGGTGGCCCAAAGATGGAAAGAAGATAAAGTCCCGACCAGAGACGAATGACTGGTGAAGACGATGGACTACGCCATGGGTAGGCAAACTAAGGCCCGGGGGCCGGATGCGGCCCAATCGCCTTCTAAATCTGGCTCGCGGACGGACCGGGAATCAGCGTGTTTTTACATGAGTAGAATGTGTCCTTTTATTTAAAATGCACCTCTGGGTTATTTGTGGGGCATAGGAATTCGTTCATTCCCCCCCAAAAAATATAGTCCGGGCCCCCCCAAAAGGTCTGAGGGACAGTGGACCGGCCCCCTGCTGAAAAAGTGTGCTGACCCCTGGACTACGCCGTAATGGCAAAAATGATCGGGAAAAACAGAAACTAGGAAGTGATGAACTTTAAAAAGGAATGAGAAAAATTTATAATGTATCTAAGAGAACACTGTAAACAACTAAAAACTTTGGCAGGATTCGAATAACGTTTGTAACGTATTAAAAACGAAGGGAAAATTGGATTATATAAGAAAAACAGAGAAAGTAAGTGAAGCAGTGGGAAAAGTTTGAAAACAGTAACCATGGAAGGGTGGAGTCAAAAAGATTCAAGGAATCCTATATGATGCAGATGTTTAAATTTGACATCGAAAACGCAATAAAATATGGTTTTTAAAAGGAGATTCTTCAACAACAAAAGTTTAACAGACAGCAATTCCCTGTCTGTTACTCTGGGGGAAGCCGTGGGTTTGCGATACCCCATCAAATGTCTGGTGCAGACAGGAGCTTTAAAGTCACTTCACAATATTGTTCTTGTAGCAGAACCATGGATGCTTTATTTGAGATTCTTCCACAGCAGGGGGGTGAACTAAATGATGCTCAGGATCTCTTCCAACTATACAATTCTATAAAACTGGTGAATTTCTTTCCTGATCAACTAAATATCTGCCTTTATTTTTCCTTTTAAAAATCCCAATACAGTGGTACCCTGGTAGTCGAACACTTTGGTTGACGAACAAACCGACTCCTGAATGTCGCAAACTCGGAAGTGAGTGTCCGGTTTGCGAACGTTTTTTGGAAGCCAGACAGCTTCTGTGGCTTCCGATTGGCTGCAGGAAGCTCCTGCAGCCAATCGGAAGCTGCGCCTTGCTTTTCGAACCGTTTTAGGAGTTGAACGGACTCTTGGAATGGATTAAATTCGAGAACCAAGGTACGGCTGTAGTAACCCAGCTAACGGAGTCCCGCAAGGCCACAGAGAGGGCAGAATTTTGGGTCAACAGGCTGCAAATCTCCTTTTTCACCTAAGAACATCACGCTCTACGTTGGGCTACCTTTGAAGGTGACCTGGAAACTGCAATTAATCCAGAATGCGGCAGCCAGACTGGTGACTGGGAGCAGCCGCCGAGACCATATAACACCGGTCATGAAAGACCTACATTGGCTCCCAGTACGTTTCCGAGCACAATTCAAAGTGTTGGTGCTGACCTTTAAAGCCCTAAAAGGCCTCAGCCCAGTATACCTAAAGGAGCGTCTCCACCCCCATCGTTCTGCCCAGACACTGATGTCCAGCCCCAAGGGCCTTCTGGCGGTTCCCTCACTGCAAAAAGCCAAGTTACAGGGAACCAGACAGAGGGCCTTCTCGATAGTGGCGCCCTCCCTGTGGAACACCCTCCTTTCAGATGTCAAGGAAATAAGTAGCTATCCTATCTTTAAAAGACATCTGAAGGCAGCCCTGTTCCTGGAAGTTTTTAACATTTAATGCTGTATTGCTTTTTAATACTTGACTGGGAGCCACCCAGAGTGGCTGGGGAAACTCAGCCAGATGGGCGGGGTATGTATAAATAAATAAAATAAATTATTATTATTATTATTATTATTATTATTATTAGAGTCTCGCTGCTGTATGAGGCCCACAAGACTCATCTCATTCATGTAAGGATTTTAAGCCGAGGTTGGATGGCTACCTGTCGTGGATTATTTAGCTGTGATTTCTGCGTTACAGGGGGTTGGACTAGATGACCCTTGGCCAGAACCCCTCTGACATTATTTTATATCTCCTTGCAGACACAGATGAGTATGTGACCTGGCTTGTAGCACTCTTTGGAAGGAAGGCAGGATATAAAGGGAAGAATGTGGAAATAAAAGAAATAAGATTGCACGGTGACAACTTGCCTGGGAAGGTGGTGCCTTATGGGTGCTTAAGAAAAGCAGAATGAAAAAAGACAGGCAAACTCTCTGCTTTGAAAATTTGAAGGGGGAGGTTAGTTTTACGAGGCTCATGCAAATAAACGAATGCAAATCCTAGCAGCCTTCCGCCCCCATTCCGTTTGAACTCTGACGGGGATCGCAGTTTGTGGAGAGTACGGAAAACAAAACAAAAAAACCACAGCGCAGGTCGCAAGCGAGGAAAACCAGCGCCAAGTCGGTTTGTAAGCCAGCTGCTCAGGGGAGCAGGGAATTTAAGGCAGCAATTCAATCAGAGAGCTAGAAAGCTTTCGGCCGTAGGGAGGTGTTCGCCACAAAAAATATACTGTCGAGGTGCTTATTTCAGGTGGCTTCCAACAAAATAGTAAAATACAACAAGGTAAAGGGTAAAGGGACCCCTGACCATTAGGCCTAGACGCGGACGACTCTGGGGTTGCGGCGCTCACCTCGCTTTATTGGCCGAGGGAGCCGTCGTACAGCTTCCGGGTCATGTGGCCAGCATGACTAAGCCGCTTCTGGGGAACCAGAGCAGCGCACGGAAACACCATTTACCTTCCCGCCAGAGCGGTACCTATTTATCTACTTGCACTTTGACGTGCTTTTGAACTGCTAGGTTGGCAGGAGCAGGGACTGAGCAACCGGAGCTCACCCTGTCGCGGGATTCGAACCGCCGACCTTCTGATCGGCAAGCCCTAGGCTCTGTGGTTTAACCCACAGCATCACCCACATCCCTTAAAATACAATAGTCCGTCATTAATAGCTTCCCTAAACAGGGTTAGGGTTCCCTAAACAGGGCTGCCTTCAGATGTCTTCTAAAAGTCAGAATTTCCTTAACATCTGATGGGAGGGTATTCCAGAGGGAGGGCGCCACCACCGAGAAGGCCCTCTGCCTGGTTCCCTGTAACCTGGCTTCTCGCAGCGAGGGAACCGCCAGAAGGCCCTCGGCGCTGGACCTCAGGACTGCAATCTTACTTTATTTTTTAGCAGCTCAGTGGTCTATAGATCACCTGGCTTCTGCATGGTCCCACATCTAGCCCCTGGAGGCATCCCCAGCTAGGAGAGACCACGCCTGCCACCCTTACCTGTCGCGGAGGGTGCTGGGGCCAAGGTAGGGGTACTGGTTGTCTTTTAGTTTGCCCTTGATCAGCTGGTCAAGAGTCTCGTGCAGCAACGGCTGGTGTTGGGTGTAGACATTCTCGACGCCCTATTTGAAGAAGGAAACACAAGAGGGAAAAGTGAATGCTCTCTCCGGGCTCAGCGAGGTGGCAGAAATAAAAAACATGGTTATCCGGAAGAACGGCCCCCACCTTTAGTCCTTTCAGGAACTGCTTGGTGATGGCGACAGCATCTTTGGAGTTGAAGAGGTCGCTCCCACGAACACGCTTCCCTCCATATTCTACGACGGCCGACACCAGCTGAGCCGGGAGAGAAAGAGCAAAGCGTGAGAGGAGCCTGCCGGACCCAACCAGGCCAGCATCCTGTTCTCACAGTGGCTGATCGGACGCCCCAATGGGAAACTAACAAGCAGAATTCAAGCACAAGAGTCCTCTCCTGTGGCTTCCAGAAATTTGGATTCAGAAGCATTGCTGTGGAGAGCAGTTCTGCTGGCTAGGAGCCCTCAACAGCCCTCTTCCTCCTCCCTGAATGAGTCCATCCCTTGACTTTCAGAGCCGTCTGGGTTAGCGGCCATCCCTGCGTCCTGTGGCAGGGAGTTCCATGGTTTAACCAGCCACACCCAGCAGAAACGTGGAAGCCACTAACCAGACAAACATTATCACGACCTACAAGAGACTAGATGGGTCCACTTTCAGGTCTGATTCAGCAGGGATCGTCTTCTGCTCTGATGGAACCTCCAGGGTCAGGGGCAGTCTATCTCGATTCCTAGGTTCTCAGTGGTATTTAGCCACTGGGAGAACAGGAGGCTGGACTGAATGGGCTTCTTTTGGCCTGATACCTCCAGATTCAGAGACAGCCTATCTAACACTGGCCCTGAAATACCTACATTGGCTCCCAGCACAATTCGAAGTGTTGGTGCTGACCTTTAAAGCACCTTACTGGCCTCGGCCCAGTAGACCTGAAGGAGCGTCTCCGCCTCCATCATTCTGCCCAGACACTGAGGTCCAGCTCCAAGGGCCTTCTGGCGGTTCCGTCATTGTGAGAAGCAAAGCTACAGGGAACCAGGCAGAGGGCCTTCTCAGTGGTGGCACCCGCCCTGTGGAACGCCCTCCCATCAGATGTCAAAGAGATAAACAACTATCTGACGTTTTAGAAGACATCTAAAGGCAGCCCTGTTTAGGGAAGTTTTTAACGACTGATGTTTTAATGTACTTTTAACCTTTGTTGGAAGAGTGGCTGGGGAAACCCAGCCAGATGGGCGGGGTATAAATAATTCTTATTATTATTACGTATTATTATCAGTGGTTTTTTCCTGGGGGGACACAGGGGGACGCACACCCCTAAACATTTTGTGAATCTAACGAGAGAAGAAACTAAAAAAATTTTTAAAAATAGTTTCTTCTCTAGCATGGTGAATCGTCACAGTTCTGTCACTATCCCCGACGGCGGCCTCAATTCCTGTCACGGTGTTTCCTGAGTCTCAGACAGAAGCGAGCGTTTAATGTGTGAAGGAGGAGTTGGAATCTAGCACGGCGATTGGTCAGTTTCATTGTATTTACTAGATTTATTCCCCCCGATTTGAACTATAAAATGGTGATTTTCTGGAGTCAAAATGAGAGCACCCCCAAACATTTTTTTTCCAGAAAAAAGCACTGATTATTATTAATATTAATCTTCTTTCCCTCCCCCCCACCTTTATTGTGTTTAAATGATAACAAAAGATTCATATGTATGATACTTCAGAAAAACACAAAAATATGTCCATTTGTTCCTATACAGTTCATTTCATCATACAGTGGTGCCTTGCAAGATGAAATTAATTCGTTCCGCGAGTTTTTTCGTCTTGCGATTTTTTTCGTCTTGCGAAGCACGGTTTCGGAAAAGTTTTGGAAAAGCTTCAAAAATCACCAAAGTCTTCAAAAACCTCAAAAAAGGCTACCACACTGCGTTCTATGAGTTGCTCCTCGAAGTCAAGTCGCAACTGTATTAACGGTTTTAAGAAAAAGGAAACAAACTTGCAAGACATTTCCGTCTTGCGAAGCGAGCCCATAGGGAAAATCGTCTTGCGAAGCAACTCAAAAAACCAAAAACCCTTTCGTCTTGCGAGTTTTCCGTCTTGCGAGGCATTCGTCTTGCGAGGTACCACTGTACATACTACCTATGACTTCCCGTCCACCCCAGTGTATTCATCATTGCCATTTTCCAGTAGTACAAATAATAGCTTTGTTATGTTTTGGTTATCCTAAAGTTTCTTAGATCTTTTTTATCCTTTTACTTTGTTTTTTGTTGTTATCATACACAGAAATCATTCAAATGCTTACTATTATTATTATTAATCAAGGTTGTACACCACCCTTCATCAGAAAGATTCCAGGACGGGTGACAACAGAAAATACAAAATGGGAATAAAAAACAATAAAACTGAAGTAAGTTCAAAATAATAAGAACAAAACGAGAATACAAAACAATGAAACGAAAACAAAGCCATAACCCACGTTTGAAGCAGTATTGTAGCAATGTATGGACCCACCCCACAGCCTTTGCTCCTAAGGGCAGGTTCTCCCTCCCCCCCCCCGAGGGCTCAGCACCCCCACCCACCTTCCGGTGCTTCTCAGAGACCCCTCGGTTCCTCAGCTCTGTCATGAGTCCTGGAAGGCTGTTGCTGCTGTGTCTCTCGTAGTGAAGGGCATACAGCATCACCAGGCGGGTGGCATCCAGCTCGCTCACTTTGGGGTTCTGCAAGAGCCGGCGGATATTCTGCAGCAGGAGAGACGAGGCGTTTTTTGGGGGGACGACAACGACAGGGCATCCTGTTTACCAGCTCCATCTGGTATGCAGGCCGAGACCCTAAGTGCCCGCAAACTGTCTCGCCAGAGTGGTGCATGCTCTGGTTATCTCTTGCTTGGACTACAGTGGTACCTCGGGTTACATACACTTCAGGTTACAGACTCTGCTAACCCAGAAATAGTACCTCGGATTAACTACTTTGCTTCAGGATGAGATCAGAAATCACGTGGTGGCAGTGGGAGGCCCCATTAGCTAAAGTGGTACTTCAGGTTAAGAACAGTTTCAGGTTAATCCGGAACGGATTACGGTAAATTCTTAACCCGAGGTACCACTGTAATGCAATGCGCTCTATGTGGGGCTACCTTTGAAGGTGACCTGGAAACTGCAACTAATCCAGAATGTGGCAGCCAGACTGGTGACTGGGAGCAGCTGCCGAGACCACATAACACCAGTCTTGAAAGACCTACATTGGCTCCCAGTACGTTTCCAAGCACAATTCAAAGTGTTAGTGCTGACCTTTAAAGCCCTAAACGGCCTCGGTCCAGTATACCGCGTCTGTACCCCCATCGTTCTGCCCGGACACTGAGGTCCAGCTCCGAGGGCCTTCTGGCAGTTCCCTCGCTGCGAGAAGCCAAGTTACAGGGAACCAGGCAGTGGGCCTTCTCGGTGGTGGCGCCCGCCTTGTAGAACACCATCCCACCAGATGCCAATGAAATAAACAACTCTCTGACTTTTTGAAGACATTTGAAGGCAGCACAGTTTAGGGAAGTAATGACTGATGTTTTAATTTATTTTTAATATTTTGTTGGAAGCCGCCCAGAGTGGCTGGGGAAACCCAGCCAGATGGGCAGGGTATAAATAATAATTTTTTATTATTACCCTGCAGATTTGTGTCTAGATAACACGGTGGATGAAACCCAGTGCTAGCTCAGGTCAGAGTTTAAGCATGGAAATGAATGGGCTTAGATCTAACGTCAGGAAGGTGCCTTGGTTGGGAAAGGCCGACTTAAATGCTCCACATAAACCATCCTGATGAGATGGCTCCCTCCCCTTTCAAAGCCATCAGAGGCCTTGCTTCTCAAACGTTTTCGACCACAGAGATGGCCTGAAAATCAGCAAGGTGAATCGCCGGCCACTTGGGAAAGCAACCTCTTGCAGCTGATGCAATGGACTGTGCTGGATTCTCAACTGTAATTTCATTGCTTGTTTCATTTCCTGCCTTGCATCTTTGCTTGTATCACAATCTGAATTCCGCATTTATTATTATTTTATTAAATTTGTATACCGCCTTCCACCTGCAGATTTTAGGGGTGGTTCACAGGCTCAGGGTACTCTTAGCTCCAAGTCTTTTCTCGACGCAAAGATCTCCAGCTGAATCGGAAGGGCTGGCTTGGGAGCCTTCTTGCAGAAGGCTGCCTCTGAGTTTGTGCAGAGCGCATCCCCCCCCCACTGTCAAGGACATTCCCCCATCTTATCTACGGAGGCATTTCTGAGCCCCATAGCAGCTTGAGAATTCAGCTTAAAGTTCAGAAAAGAGAGTTTCCCTGTGGTCGGAAGCTGAGATCCATGCAGAAGTGTCTGCCCCGATGGCATCTAACCCCATCCGTTTCGACCTCCCTGCCCATCTAGACCCCTGGAGGCGCCGGAAGAGCCCTCGTAAAAAGGGCTGCATTGTTAACAGCCGACAACCCTAATTCATCCCTACTGATGTGGTGTCAGCTGGCGGGGTCAGTCTATGAATTCTATGAGTTACGGAAGGAACAGACGTCCCATCTAAGCCCCGGAGGCAGACAGAGGATTCCTTGTGAAGCTTTTCCCCCCAAAATAAAATTAGAAAGTATCTCCACTGGCCCAAAGAAATTCTTTATATAAAAGCAGCATTTTTCTGAAAGATCCCAGGATTTAGGGCAGTGGGTGGGGGGACAGGATCCAGAGAAGGAGAATCTTTAAGAACACAGAACGGAACCCCGATTATTTCTTCTTTTCGCTTTTTAGCCCTGGTCATTTCTGAGCGTTTGAAAGCTGAGAACGCGCCCGTCAACTGAAAAGCAGGTTAGATATCACTAAAAGCACTCCCACAATTATTGGAGTCTGAAAGACTGGAAGATTAGACACAAACAGAAACAGACGAGCATATCTGGTTCACAGGGAACACTAAACCGTGGTTTGTTTCATTTGGAATGGTGAAGAGAGCCTAGAACTGTGGTTTGTTTTCTGCCAGCAAGCCATGATCCAAAGTCAGGGTTTGGTTTTGGGTCTATAAACCAAAAAGAATCTGTTAACATCTCTGAGCTGGGCTGGGAAAATCAGATGCATTCTAATGCTTCTGCGGCACGGGATCACATTCACCCAGTGCTATACCAGCTGCACTGGCTCCCGGTGGAGTACAGGGTCAGGTTTAAGGTGCTGGTTTTAACCTTTAAAGCCCTATACGGCCTAGGACCCTCGTACCTACGGTCGTCAAACAAAAACATCTTGGAGGTCCCGGGCCACAGGGAGGTTAGGCTGGCCTCGACCAGAGCCAGGGCTTTTTCGGTCGTGGCCCCAATCTGGTGGAACGCTCTGTCCCAAGAGACTAGGGCCCTGCAGGACTTGACAGCTTTCCGCAGGGCCTGCAAGACGGAGCTGTTCCACCAGGCCTTTGGCCAAGGCACAGTCTGACCCCCTCCTTCTGTAATCCTCACAGAACTCTAGCCTAATGGTTGCCATTAGTTTGATTCTGAATTGATTTTAGAATGAATTGGTTTTAGAATGCTGTGTTACAGTCATACCTCGGGTTAAATATGCTTCAGGATGAATATTTTTGGGTTGCACTCCACGGTGACCCGGATGGAGCACGTTACTTCTGGGTTTCGCCGCTCGCGCATGCGCTAAAAATGACGTCACGCGCATGCGCAGAAGTGGCGAATCGCGACCTGTGCAGAAACGCGGACACGGGTTGCGTTCGCTTCAGGATGCGAACGGGGCTCCGGAACAGATTCTGTTCGAATCCAGAGGTACCACTGTACTTTTATTGTTGTTAGCCGCTCTGAGCCCGGCTTTGGTTTGGGAGAGCGGGATATAAATAAAATATTATTAATTATTATTATTATTATTATTATTATTATTATTATTATTATTATATGTACAGCGCACGAAGAGGAGATTTATTTATTTAGGGTTTTGGAGAAGGCTCCATCCTCGGGGCTGTGGGTACCTGCAAAGCGCTGGAGTGATCGTTCTGGCAGGCGAGCTCCTGCTCCACCTCCGAAGCCTCCAGCAAGTTCCTCTCGCTCACCAGCCGGGATAGCTCCCCCAGCACCGTGACGTGCTTGGAAACCGTGCCGGACATCTTCTTGAACTGAGGGTAGTTCTCCACAAAGGCCTGAAGGATGGAGAGGAAGGGGAGAGGACATCTCAGAGCCCGGCTGCTGAATCACGTTTCCTCAACTTAGCTCAAGGTGGCACCCAAAGTTCTCCCTGTTTTATCCTGCTAAGAAGCCTGTGAGGTAAAGGTAAAGGGACCCCTGGCCATTAGGTCCAGTCGTGACCAACTCTGGGGTTGCGGCGCTCATCTCTCTTTATTGGCCGAGGGAGCCGGCGTACAGCTTCCGGGTCATGTGGCCAGCAGGACTAAGCCGCTTCTGGCGAACCAGAGCAGCGCACAGAAACGCCGTTTACCTTCCCGCCGGAGCGATACCTATTTATCTACTTGCACTGGTGTGCTTTCGAACTGCTAGGTTGGCAGGAGCAGGGACCGAGCAACGGGAGCTCACCCCATCACGGGGATTCGAACCGCCGACCTTCTGATCAGCAAGTCCTAGGCTCTGTGGTTTAACCCACAGCACCAGGATCAGGCTAAAAGGCAGGGATCAGCAAACTTTTCAGCAGGGGCCGGTCCACTGTCTCTCAAACCTTGTGGGGGGCCAGACTATATTTTTGAAAAAAAATAAAAATGAACTAATTCCTATGCCCCAGAGATGCATTTTAAATAAAAGGACACATTCTACTCATGTAAAAACATGCCAATTCCTGGACCGTCCGTGGGCCGGATTGAGAAGGTGATTGGGCCGCATCCGGCCCCCAGGTCTTAAGTTTGCATACCCACGCTAAAAGGCAATGATTGGCCCCGAGTCAAGCTTCACGGCTGTGTGGGGATTTGAACCCAGGTCTCCTCCAGGTCCCAGTCCAAAACTGTTTTTTTAAATAAAAATTTTATTGGTTTTACATGAATTTATACATAATAATTTTAACCATTCCAAAACATAAAAATAAAAAGGTTCTTTTGAAACCTTCGGACCTCTTCCCCTCCCTCTATGGGTTCCATTTCCAAAAAATAAAAATAAAATTTATTTTTCTTTTTTCTGCATTTTTTACCGTTATCCATCTGTGGTATAATCGTAGTTACCAAAGTTCATTTCACATTACAAGGGTCATTGTATCCCTGCCAATGATTTTAACTGCCTACAGTGGTCTTTTAAGTATATTATAAAAAATTATTCCAATCTTTTAAGAATACTTGAGCTTCATGGTTTCTGATCTTTCCCGTCAGTCTCGCCATTTCTGCATATTCCTTTAACTTGATCTGCCATTTCCCCCGGACCAAAAGTCTTGCAAGCTCCCTGCTCCTGGGCAAGTGTTTGCTGATGGCCCTTCCCTAGAATGCTGTATTATTTTATTGTTGTTAGCCGCTCTGAGCCAGGCTTCGGCTGGGAGGGTGGGATATAAATAATTTATTATTATTATTATTATTATTATTATTATTATTATTATTATGCCAAGCTACCTTCATGTCTGCGATGGATTCCAGTTTCTGCTGCTCCTTAGGCTTCCTCCGCTGGAAGTCTTCCATCAGGTTCTTGATGTTGCTTCCGATTTCCGCAAAGTTTAGGTACATGTTCTGCAAACGAGAAAAAGCAGCGGATCGAAGGAAATGTCAGGGGGGTCTGGATGTTGCTAGAAGAAGCCAAAGGGGGCCCCAGCATCTCGTCCAGCACCCTACAGAGTGGTCCCCAAAATACTTTTTTTAAAAAAACGGTTTGTATTTGATTTTACAAATATAAATTTATATCCATACCAAATAAATATCCATATAAAGAGATTACTCTGAATCTTGGGACTTCTTCCCCATCCCCTCCATGGGTCCTATTGTCAAGATTTTCAACTGCATATTATTTCATAATCTGTATTTTATATCTACAGTGGTACCTTGGTCCTCAAACTTAACGCGTTCCGGAAGTCCGTTCCAAAACCAAAGCGTTCCAAAACCAAGGCGCGCTTTCCCATAGAAAGTAATGCAAAGTGGATTAATCCGTTCCGGACTTTTAAAAACAACCCCCAAAACAGCAAGTTAACATGAATTTTACTATCTAACGAGACCGTTGATCCATAAAATGAAAGCAATAGACATGTCTGCAGTCACACAATCAATCAATATCAATCAGTAACTGGACTGGGTCGCACACAGTCACAAAAACAAAAGAGCCGCAAAAACAAAAATAAATAGCAAAAACAGACAGACCTCAGAGTAACACTGAAAACGGAAGTGTGGCACTCAAAACGGAGCACGTTTGGCTTCCGAAAAACGTTCGCAAAGTGGAACACTTACTTCCGGCTTTGCAGTGTTGGGTTCCAAGTTGTTTTGAGTACCAAGGAGTTTGAGAACCAAAGGTACCACTGTATCCATATTGTCCGTAGTATTTGCTCCATTACAAGTGAGATTAAAATCCTGCTAATGTTTTCATCTGCTTACAGTGGTCTCCTAAATAAATTATAATTCCCCCCCCCCATTTTTTATTGAATTTCTTGTCTTCTTGGCCCCTGAGCTTTCCAGTCAGTTTTGCTATTTCGGACCCTATTAGCGGCCTTCGTCTAGCGGGTTTTCCGTCTTGCGAGGCATTCGTCTTGCGGGGCACCACTGTAGTCTTAACAGCTTGGTATGCCATTCCTCTCTACCAGGGACTCTTTCTTACTTCCATCTCTGGGCTATTAGAATTTATGCTGCTGTTGTTGCATACATAAAGAGTCTTTTTTGTTCCTTTGGGATATCAGTACCTATAATTCCTAACAAAAAGACTTCTGGGTTTTGTTTGTTTTGTTTTAAACAAAAGTTATTTAAAACATTTTTTTCAGTTCGTTATATATCATTTCCCAGAAAGCCTTTATTACCCTACATGACCACATGTGATAAAAGGTACATTCCACAAGACTTACATTGGCGTAAAACTCGTCGTTCTCAGCTGACAAGACCACCTCCCGGAGGTCCTTACTTATGCCTGGGACTCGCGAGAGATCGATGCGGTTGTTGTTAATCCCAAGCAGCTCATGGACCATTGCCTGATATGTCCACTACGCAGAGAGGAAAAGAGAGTCAGAAGAGTAAACAGAAGCAAGAAAAGTTCCAAAATTTGGAAAAGGATCATTGGGACTTTCGCTGGCATCTCTAAACATCTCCATCTGAAACCCCGGGGAGCTGCTGCCTGTCGGGTGTGCGTGCAGAAGCCAGGCCCTGTGACCAAGACTGGGGCCTTCCTAAGTTTGCTCTGAAGAGGCAAGGCGTGGCCACACAGGTGAGGCCAATTGGTAACTCACTGCACCTGGTGGCAAGAGCCGGGAAGGGATATAAGGTCAGCATTTCCCTTCAGCTCTTTGCCACAGCAACACATTCCCTGCCTTGTTGTGTTTGACTCCTTCCTTCCTGATCCTCGGACCCCTGACTTTGTGACTCCTTGCTTCTTGACCCTCAGAGCCCTGACTTTGTGACTCCTTGCTTCTTGATCCTCGGACCCCTGACTTCGTGACTCCTTGCTTCTTGATCCTCGGACCCCTGACTTCATGACTCCCTGCTTCTTGACCCTCGGACCCTGGCTTCTGGACTCCCTGCTTCTTGACCCTCAGACCCCTGACTTTGTGACTCCTTGCTTCTTGATCCTCAGACCCCTGACTTCATGACTCCCTGCTTCTTGATCTCGGAACCCCTGACTTCATGACTCCCTGCTTCTTGACCCTCAGACCCCTGACTTTGTGACTCCTTGGTTCTTGACCCTCGGACCCCTGACTTCGTGACTCCTTGCTTCTTGACCCTGGGACCCCTGACTTCGTGACTCCTTGCTTCTTGATCCTCGGACCCCTGACTTCGTGACTCCTTGCTTCTTGATCCTCGGACCCCTGACTTCGTGACTCCTTGCTTCTTGACCTCGACCCCTGACTTTGTGACTCCTTGCTTCTTGACCTCGGACCCCTGACTTCGTGACTCCTTGCTTCTTGATCCCTGGACCCCTGACTTCGTGACTCCTTGCTTCTTGACCCGGACCCCTGACTTCGTGACTCCTTGCTTCTTGATCCTCGGACCCCTGACTTCGTGACTCCTTGCTTCTTGATCCTCGGACCCCTGACTTCGTGACTCCTTGCTTCTTGATCCTCGGATCCCTGACTTCGTGACTCCTTGGTTCTTGATCCTCGGACCCCTGACTTCGTGACTCCTTGCTTCTTGATCCTCGGACCCTTGACTTCGTGACTCCTTGCTTCTTGATCCTCAGACCCCTGACTTCGTGACTCCCTGCTTCTTGATCCTCGGACCCCTGACTTTGTGACTCCTTGCTTCTTGACCCTCGGACCCCTGACTTCGTGACTCCTTGCTTCTTGATCCTCAGACCCCTGACTTCATGACTCCTTGCTTCTTGATCCTCGGACCCCTGAGTTTGTGACTTCTTGCTTCTTGACCCTCGGACCCCTGAGTTCGTGACTCCTTGCTTCTTGACCCTCGGACCCCTGACTTCGTGACTCCTTGCTTCTTGACCCTCAGAGCCCTGACTTCGTGACTCCTTGCTTCTTGACCCTCAGACCCCTGATGATCATTAGGACACCCTGATGGACCCTTTCGTGACTCCCAGCTCTCTGACCTCGGACTCTTGGCTTCCTAAACTCCTGCTTCTGGACCCCGTTCCTGCTCGCCAACCCCACCATCTTCCCCCCCGGTCCTAACGTCCCCAGCTGGGACTTGGATCGCCCGTGAACTGGACCATGACACTGCCAGCCAGTGTAGGCAACGCTGACCTAGATGGACCAGTGGCGCTTGGTTTAGTGTTTGGGCGGGCCAGCAATAAATCGCACTGAGTAGGCGAACTCTTTATCAGAAAAAACAAAGTGTGCTCAGGAGTGCCAGGCCAATAAGCAGTAGGTCTAGCCCCTATGAGCAGGGCCGTCTTTACCATATGTGCCACTGGGGTGCAAAGATCCGCCCAGCGCCCCCAAATTTAGTTAATTTTGCGTGCATGGCGCCATTGAGAATGACAAGCGCCGTCGTTGAGTCTGAGAAGCACCACCATTGTGAATGACAAGCGCCGCCGCTGGCGCAGCGCGTCTTTGGTAAACGAGCGCACAAAGTCGAAAGTCCTTTAGTGAAACAAGAGGTATACATTTCGGTATTACCTAGGTATATATGTATTTTGTTTTTCTAGCTTGATCAAAATTATTTATTATTTCATAACCGGTAGATAAGAGCTTCGGCGGCTTCAGCGGCAGGCACCAGATGCCCCCCAGAATTCAGCACCCGGGTGCCCTGCACCCCTTCCAGCCCTGGGTAAAGACGGCCCTGCCTATATGATAAATAAGGCAATGATATGTACAATTTTACAATATGCAGAGCATAATATGTGCAAAGAAACCAGAGAGAGGAGCTGAGGGGGAGGGGATAAAAGGGGTGGGGGATGTAAATGGTTATACTGATCGGTAATTTGTTAAAATTGTTCAATAAAAATATATTTAAAAAAAGATGGCCCTGCCTATGAGGCAGTTGTGGGGACTAAGTCCCATCCTCTCCGGAGTTTTTCCCAAGCAATCTGAGACTATGCCGGCACACCTGCCTTTGCTCCTCCCGTTTCATGCCTCTTCTGGTCTTGGGAGGCCAGGAGGGAGGGGAGCTTGCTGCAGCAGGAGGGGGAGACACCTGTGCCTCTCATCTCTGCCTCTTGGCCTCCCACCTCCGGACTGCTCTTTGCCACAGACTCTCCGCTCGCTAAGATCTGTTACCTCTCCGGCTTCCGACACCTCCTCCTCCTCCTCCCAGGCAGAAGGCAGACCCCCCAGATTCCCATTTAAAGACAGCTTCAAGGCGACAGGGAGGCTCTCACCTGGTTCAGGAGCGGAGTGATGGCGTCATCCGAGCGGTCCAGGAGCAGCAGCAACGGAGGGACTTCGGTGCGACGGAAGTCAAAAAGCTCATACTCTTTCGTGATCACTTGCTGTTTGGAGGGGAGGAAAGGAATAGGCTAGCCAGGTAGTTAAGGTGTGAAAAGGTCCTGTGCACAGGGATTGCAAACTTAGTTTTTCTACCTTGACACTGGAAGGCAAAAACGACTCGCCTGTGACTTTTTTGGCTCAGTGGGAGAGCATCTGCTTGTCTTGCAGGCTCAATCATCAGGGGCACCTCCAGTTAGGCCCCTGCCTGAAATCTAGAACGCTACTGCTGCCAGCCAGAGTAGGCAGTACTAAGCTAGATGGGCCCCAAATTCAAATAAAAGTGTTTTCGTTTTAATATATAATCCGAATAAAATAGAACTTCATGAGACAAGCACATAAAAACGAAACCGAACCAAACCAAGGCTGGCACGGGATGTTACAATGATAAAGCTGGTTATCCAGATATTCGCAGTAAGATAGACAGGTAAGTGCAAGGTGCCGTCCTGAGAAACGAGAGAGCAAAAAGTGTGGCGCTCGTGACTTGCAAGATCTAGAGAAACACAACAGCTGAGAGACCTCCAGAGGCACAAGGACTGCTGAGAATAAAAAGCTGTGTGTTACATCAAGAAACATTTCCAACCAATCAGATCAGGTCTTTCCAAACTTTTCATGTTGACGACACACTTTTTAGACACGCATCACTTCGTGACACGGTAATTCAGTTTTACTAGCAAACCAGAGGTTAAACTAACCCATTTCCAGCCCCAGGAGGAGGAGGGCTGGGAGTGTTTGTGTGAGATAACACACCTGCCCACTGCTTCCAACACACAAATGTGTCGCGACACACAGTTTGGAAAGCTCTGAATTAGATGGTAAAGGTAAAGGGACCCCTGACCATTAGGTCCAGTCGTGACCAACTCTGGGGTTGCGGCGCTCATCTCACTTTATTGGCCAAGGGAGCCGGCGTACAGCTTCCGGGTCATGTGGCCAGCATGACTAAGCCACTTCTGGAAAACCAGAGCAGCACATGGAAATGCCGTTTACCTTCCTGCTGGAGCGGTACCTATTTATCTACTTGCACTGGCATGCTTTCGAACTGCTAGGTTGGCAGGAGCAGGGACCGAGCAATGGGAGCTCATCCCGTTACGGGGATTCAAACCGCCGACCTTCTGATCGGCAAGCCCTAGGCTCTGTGGTTTAACCCACAGTGCCACCCGCGTCCCAAATTAGATGTTACTTATCCCTTATCTCTTGAGAGACTTGTGGAAGAGGCAAAGGGTGTTTTACGATTTATCACAAGCACTTTGTTGAGCACTGCCCTGATGTTCTCTTTAAAAAATAATAATTCACTAGGCAGTGTCATACAAATACTTTTACTAAATAAGAACGAACCTTGACGCACTCTGCCAGCCTCTTGGCTGGTTCAGAAGAGAGCTGGTAGCGGATCATGGGGCATTTCTTCAGGGACAGGAGCAGAGCGGTCAAGCCTTGGGTGGTCCTGGAGAGCTGAGCCTGGTCCCAGCTGTGGCCCTAAAAAAATATGGCGAATATGAGAGCCGAGCAAGGCCTGTTTGGTTTTATTTCATTTATTACATTTGCAAACTGCAAAAGGTCACGGAGTGTTAATGGAACATCATGATGTATTAGTGATGTAGTTTGGGGGGTTGTAACATGGGGATTAGCAGCTAATAAAACTTTGGGGGCTCTTTGGTTCAGGGCTTCCATCTTGTTCCACCTTGTGGCAGGTGAAAGTCCTGTCGTGACAGTCTTCAATAAAGACCAAGCCTACTGGCTGCTGTTTTGCTCTGGTATTCCTGGCTGGTGTCCTTGGTTTTTGTCCAAGGGAGCCCTCAGATTTCTCCGTTAACAGGGGAAGTTCACGACATACAAATACGCAACGAAAGCGGCCGGCAGCCTGCTTAGGCGATGCCCCGGGAGCAGCTACAGAATCGTAGAGGTAAAAGTAAAGGACCCTGGATAGTCCAGTCCAGTCAAAGGCGACTATGGGGTTGCAACACTCATCTCGCTTTCAGGCCGAAGGAGCCGGTGTTTGTTCAGACAGCTTTTCTGGGTCAGGTGGCCAGCATGACTAAACCGCTTCTGGCGCAATGGGACACCGTGATGGAAACCAGAGCACATGGAAACGCCGTTTACCTTCCCGCCGCAGTGGTACCTATTTATCTACTTGCACTGGTGTGCTTTCGAACTGCTAAGTTGGCAGGAGCTGGGACAGAGCAACGGGAGCTCAAAACCGTTGTGGGGATTTGAACCGCCAACCTTCTGATCGGCAAGCCCAAGAGGCTCAGTGGTTTAGACCACAGCGCCACCCGCGTCGGGAGGGACCCCAGGGTCATCTGGTCCAACCCTCTGCGATGTACCCATGACAGGACAGCCACCCAACCTCTCACACTCTGCTACAACAAAACATCTCGCCTAGTCTGCTGCTAGGTGACTGTTGACGCCTCCATCTGCACCAGATATTTGACGCAGATATCGCACCCCTTTGGACAGCCACGGCTGCCCCTGAAGAATCTGGGAACCGGCGCTGAAAGTTGTGAGGAGGCCTGGAAGTTACCAGGATTCCTCTCACGCCACCTACCTGACAGCAGACAGAGATGTTGAGAGAGAACACATGCGGGTTCACGGCAATGTAGTCTCCGTAGAATTCCTGCCAGGCGAGAAACGGGAGAGACTCAGTGTCATGGCGATGCCCGAGAGGCTATTTAACGCCGGTGACCAGGCACGGTGTCAACGTGAGGCAAAGTGAAGTTGGGTATAAAGCAGGGGCAGGGTTTGTCACTGCGGCAGCTAGACTGGGAGCGGCCGCCGAGACCACATAACACCAGTCTTGAAAGACCTACATTGGCTCCCAGGACGTTTCCAAGCACAATTCAGGGTGTTGGTGCTGACCTTTAAAGCCCTAAACGGCCTCGGTCCAGTATACCTGAAGGAGCGTCTCCACCCCCATCGTTCTGCCCGGACACTGAGGTCCAGCTCCGAGGGCCTTCTGGCAGTTCCCTCCCTGTGAGAAGCCAAGTTACAGGGAACCAGGCAGAGGGCCTTCTCGGTGGTGGCACCCGCCCTGTGGAACGCCCTCCCACCAGATGTCAAAGAGAAGAACAACTACCAGACTTTTAGAAGACATCTGAAGGCAGCCCTGTTTAGGGAAGCTTTTAATGTTTGATGCATTACTGTATTTTAATATTTTGTTGGAAGCCGCCCGGATTGGCTGACGAAACTCAGCCAGATGGGCGGGATATAAATAATAAATTATTATTATTATTATTATTATTATTATTATTATTATTATTATTATTATATTCGACGAGAATAGGATTACCTGCCTCATGCATCGTGAAGAGTTGGGCAAGGGGAGAGGCTTAAGGGCCTGGGGGGCTGCATTAGATCGTTGCACCAAATTAGACTGCAACAGCACCAGTTTGGTTATCTCTCCATCTCCAAAGCAGCAGAAAGCCTTTCCTCTTTTTTATAACATTTTATTAAGTTTTCCATTTTACAGTATACAACCACTTCCTCATTTTTCACCCTATTTTTGCTCATATGAGGTACTCGACTCCCGTCCCCGTCTCATGGTTACCATAATTGTTTATTCTGCCCTCGCATTTCTACTTCTTCCTGTTTAAATCATACAATTCCCATTGTCCGATTTTAAGGAAAATGTAAATAGGTAGGGCCACCAACATTACAAGTCTTCTTCATTCAATCCTGCTAGTGTTGTTAATTGTTTACAATTGTCCTTTAAATATTGCATAAATTCACCCCAGTCTTTTTGGAAAGCTTGATCACACAGGTTTCAGATTTCCCCGGTCAGCTTTGCCAGTTCTGCATATTCCATCATCTTCATTTGCCACTCTTCAATTGTTGGAAGTTCCTGTTGCTTCCATTTTTGGGCTAATAAAGTCCTTGCTGAAGTTGCATACAAAAATAATTTTTGGTCTCTCTCTCCCCTACTATACCCTGTAAAAATGCTTCTGGTTTTTTAACAAATGTACTTTTGTACATTTTTTTTAAATTCATTACTAATCAAATCCAAGAAGGTTTTTACTTTGCTACAAGTCCCCAGGTGATAGAAATTTCCTTCTTTTTCTTTACATTTCCAACATTCCTTCCCCCCCCCCATCTTATACGTTTTAGCCAATTGAGTTGGTGTTAAATACCACCTATACATCATTTTCATAGTATTTTTTTTTAATGCTCTACTACAGGCCGTAAATTTAATTCCTTCGTTCAGCAGGGAGCCTTTCCTCAAAAAGGAAGCCCAGAGATGCAAAAACTTATGGAATATGCAGTCATGGTGAAACTTCCTGGAAGAATAAGAAATCAACATAACAAACTTTTTATAAGAGAATGGAAATGGTTTATGGAATATTTACAGTTAAATTGTAAAAGGATAAGAACATTAACAGGATTATTGTAATAACCTGAAGTTTCACAGGAGTACAGTCGTACCTCAGAAGTCAAACGGAATCCGTTCCGGAAGTGCGTTTGACTTCAAAAATGTTCGGAAACCAAGGCGAGGCTTCTGATTGGCTGCAGGAAACTCCAAGTCAAGCCAAGTCAGACATTCGGGTTCCAAAAGAACGCTCACAAACCGTAAAACTCACTTCCGGTTTTGCAGCGTTCGGGAGCCAAAACATTTGACTCACAAGGCATTCGGGACCCAAGGTACGACTATATATATTTAAAGAAGATGAATAAATGAGCAAATTAAGTTACTTAGGATACGCAGAAGATGTTAAAAATAAATTTAAGGAACCGCAGAAAGAGGAGAAAGAAAGTCAAGTTTAGAAATGTTGATATGATTTTAAAGTTAGTGGAATGTATAAACCTGAAAAGTATAAATAAAAAATTTAAAAAAGGAAGCCAAGAGACTTCCCGGACTTGTGGCTCGTTGACCGTAGATGTACCTGGACTTCTGCCACAACTTCCTGCTCGTCGGCTTCGGCCAGAGACTTGACGTTGCTCTTGCTGATGACGTTGCTGAAATCTGGAAGGAGGCAGGGAGACAAAGGCAGCAGGATAAGAGAGAGATGGAAGGAGGAAACAATGGTTGCTGGGTGGGATGTGGGTCTGTTCCACAGTGGGCCCTACCCACTCTCCCCCCCCCCAATTTTTTTATTCATTTTATAACACAAATAAACAACACAAACAGAAAAACAATACAAACAAATTCTTGTCTTATCCTTATTTTTTCTAAACATTGTTAGGTGAGCTTCCCCAAGTCCCCCCATCTGATTTTCATTTTACCTCATCTTTAGCAGTTTACATATATCATAATTTTTAACCATTTTTCTATCACACTTTTACCATAATAATCTTCACGTTTTATCCTTTACAAATAATACTATTTTAAAATACACTTCTAACCCTACATCCTGTATCCACTTCCAAAGCTATTCTAAGATTTAAATATTAACATATTTTTTCAGATATTCTTTAAACTTCTTCCAATCTTCTTCCACCGTCTCTTCTCTCTGGTCTTGGAGTCTCCCAGTCAGTTAGGCAAGTTCCATATGGTCCATGGGCCCTATCCACTCTTGACTTTCTCCCCATCAAAGTCTTCCAGGAGCAAGGAACAAAATCAGCCTCAGGCTGCAAAGCAAGCAGCTGTTCTGCTCCATCTGGGCGATTGCGCAAGCCGAGGATGACCTCTAGAGGCCTGTCTGGGTCAGCTCACGCCATCCCAAAACAACCGAACATTTGTGGTTAATGCAGCTATCAATGAGAATCGCTTATTTTCAAAAGATGCGCCGTTCTCTCAAAGGAGAGGTTCAAGTCAGCTAATGCATGCATGAAAAAGAAGCACTTGCTGAATCATTGTACAGTGGTACCTCGGGTTGAGTACTTAATTTGTTCCGGAGGTCTGTACTTAACCTGAAACTATTCTTAACCTGACATCACCTTGCCAACAAAGGTCCGTATAGTTAAAGCTATGGTTTTCCCAGCAGTGATGCATGGAGGTGAGAGCTGGACCATAAAGAAGGCTGATCGCCGAAGAATTGATGCTTTTGAATTCTGGTGCTGGAGGAGACTCTTGAGAGTCCCATGGACTGCAAGAAGATCAAACCTATCCATTCTGAAGGAAATCAGCCCTGAGTGCTCACTGGAAAGACAGATCCTGAAGCTGAGGCTCCAAGACTTTGGCCACCTCAGGAGAAGAGAAGACTCCCTGGAAAAGACCCTGATGCTGGGAAAGATGGAGGGCACAAGGAGAAGGGGATGACAGAGGACGAGATGGTGGGACAGTGTTCTCGAAGCTACAGACATGAGTTTGACCAAACTGTGGGAGGCTGTGGAAGACAGGAGGGCCTGGCGTGCTCTGGTCCAGGGAGTCACGAAGAGGCGGACACGACTAAACGACTAAACAACAACAACAAAAACCTCAGGTTAAGTACTTAATTCGTTCCAGAGGTCCGTACTTAACATCAACCTATTCTTAACCTGAAGCACCACTTTAGCTAATGGGGCCTCCTGCTGCCACCGCACTGCCGGAGCACGATTTCTGTTCTCATCCTGAAGCAAAGTTCTTAACCTGAAGCACCATTTCTGGGTTAGCGGAGTCTGTAACCTGAAGCATATGTAACCCAAGGTACCACTGTACTTTAATATTCTGCTGGAAGCTGCCCAGAGTGGCTGGGGAAACTCAGCCAGATGGGCGGGGTACAAATAATAAATTATTATTATTATTATGAAAAATGTCAGGGGAGAATTTATTTTTTATTTTTTGCATTTCTATGACACCTTCTTCTCCAAGCAGCTCAAGGTGATGCTCCCCCACTTCTCATGCAATCGCCACAACAGCCCTGTGAGGCAAGTTGGGCTGAGAGACGGCAGGACCTGGCCCAAGGGGACACCCAGGGAAGTTCATGACCAAGTGGGGGAGATTTGAACCCGAGTCTCTCCCAGGTCCAGCTCTAACCACTACGCTGTGCTGTTAGGAAAACACAACACACCTAGAGGCTTTCCATACTTACAAATAAAATAGGTGCTGTATTTCGGACGTCGTAGCTCCTGGATGAGGTAGTCCACGTTTTCCTGAAAGGACAACCCATTCGGAAACCACAGTGAGGTGAGAAATTAAGTCCTTAAACCAGTTACGGAAAGCAAAGTATTTCATCTCACTCCTGGTAATTTTCAAGTTGTTTCCTATAGCTATATATTTGATTGTCGTCGCCCGCCCTTAGGGTTTGAAACAGGGTGGATAAAAATCAACGTTTTTTTAAAAAATATATACCAAAAAATCGGATTTTTTTGGATTTAAATTGGATTTTTAAATAAAATGCTTTTGGAGGAAAAATCTTTCTAAAGATAGTTTTAAGTTACATTATAGTCCAAAGGCTAATCAATAGGAAATGAGGGTTTAAGTTTTTCATGTATGCTAAAACTCAGTCCAAGTTTTGTTTTTTTTTTGTAATCGTTTAACCACTTCAGTTAACAAACATGGATACATATGCTATAATGTTATTGTTTTAGTTGAATAAATTGTTATTAAGGAAGTGATTATTTTTCTCCTTCCTATAAAGTACAGCAGGAAAGTTGTCCAAATATAAACAGTTATCTTATTAAACCTCACAATAATTTCATAATTATCTGTCAATGTATTTCTAATAGTACAGCCAAATCAGTAATTTTTGATATAACCGTAAAAACTACTCTGAAAATTTATTATTGCAAAAATCAAACCTTCATCTGGTTGTGAATATTAAGATTATACCAGCAAAAATGAGTCTTTCTGTAAAAAAAATATGATCTAAATCAAGTCTTACTGACTAGTGATTTAAATCAAATCCACTCTGGTTTGAAATCAATAAACATGCAAATTCCCAGGGCCCTGCATGGCCGGTGGGGAGAGGTGAGCCCAAAACATCTGGATGGCTCCCCCAGATGTTCCCCCACCTCTGGCACAGGCTCCCTTTTGCCCTGTCTCACCTTGGTGGGTCGCAAGAAGCAGATGGCTTTCAGGTGCTTCATGTTCTCCCGATTGGCTGAATCGATGCGCTCAAAGAGGTACACCTCCTTCTGCAGGATCTCAGACTGGGTGTACACCATGCTCACGATACTGGTCTGCCAGAAGGGTGGATAAAAATCAATGGTTGTTTTTTAAAAAAAAAAAATCAGAATTTTTTTATTTAAATCGATTTTTTTAAAATTTAAATTGGATTTTTACAATAAAATGCTTTTGGAGGAAAAATCTTTCTAAAGATAGCTTTCTATTTCAGTTACACTATTGTCATCAGGAAATAAGGATTTTTTAAAAAAAATATTCATCTGCTAAAACTCAGTCTAAGGTTTTTTGTTTTTTTTTTAAAAAAAACCCTGTTGAACCACATCACATAACAAACATGGATAAGGTAAAGGTAAAGGTAAAGGTACCCCTGCCCGTACAGGCCAGTCGTGTCCGACTCTAGGGTTGTGCGCCCATCTCACTCTATAGGCCGGGGGCCAGCGCTGTCCGGAGACACTTCCGGGTCACGTGGCCAGCGTGACAAAGCTGCTCTGGCGAGCCGGCACTAGCACAGCACATGGAAACGCCGTTTACCTTCCCGCTATAAAGCGGTACTTATTTATCTACTTGCACTTAGGGGTGCTTTCAAACTGCTAGGTGGGCAGGAGCTGGGACCGAAAGACGGGAGCTCACCCCGTCGCGGGGATTCAAACCGCCGACCATACGATCGGCAAGTCCTAGGCGCTGAGGTTTTACCCACAGCGCCACCCGCGTCCCTACAAACATGGATACATATGCTATAATGTTATTGTTTTAGTTAAATAAATTGCTTAAATTGTTCACATGACATGACATTAAATTGTTACATTAAATTGTTTACATTCTACTCATGTAAAAACACACTGATTTAAAATTGAATTGTTTACATTCTACTCATGTAAAAACACACTGATTCCCGGACCGTCCGCAGACCAGATTTAGAAGGCGATTGGGCTGAATCCGGCCCAATAGCTTTCTAAATCCGGCCCGTAAACGGGCCCGGAAATCAGTGCGTTTTATTTGTGGGGCCTGCCTAGTGTTTTTACATGAGTAGAATGTGTGCTTTTATTTCAAATGCATCTCTGGGTTATTTGTGGGGCATAGGAATTCATTCCCCCCCAAAAAAAAAGATAGTTCAGCCCCCCCACAAGAGGTCCAGCTCCGAGGGCCTTCTGGCGGTTCCCTCACTGCGAGAAGCAAAGTTACAGGGAACCAGGCAGAGGGCCTTCTCAGTAGTGGCACCCGCCCTGTGGAACGCCCTCCCACCAGATGTCAAGGAAATAAACAACTATCTGACTTTTAGAAGACATCTGAAGGCAGCCCTGTTTAGGGAAGCTTTTAATATTTGATGAATTATTGCATTTTAATCTTTTGTTGGAAGCTGCTCAGAGTGGCTGGGGAAACCCAGCCAGATGGGTGGGGTAAAATAATTTATTACTTTATTATTATTATTATTATTATTATTATTATTATTAGGTCTTCCACTGAAGGACTCTGATGTTGCAGGACTCAAACTCCCACCGTGTCAGGCTTGCTGGGAGTCCAGGACCATCTAGGGGGCCATGGAGACACAAAGGAGGGGATGTGGTCCATTAGAGCAGGGAATCTTCAAATCACAAAACTGCAGAGTTGCAAGGTACCCCCCCCCCACACAAAGGCCATCAAGTCCAACGCCCCTGCATTTAGTGGAAAGAAAGATCCCACACACATTGTGCCCAATTGAAATGAGGAAACACAACAGTCAGAGCTGGAAATCAGCTTAATAATAATAATAATAATTTGTTATTTATACCCCGCCCATCTGGCTGGGTTTCCCTAGCCACTCTGGGTGGCTTCCAACCAAATATTAAAAACAATACAGAGTCAGACATTAAAAACTTCCCTAAACAGGGCTGCCTTCAGTTGTCTTTTAAAAGTAAAACAGTTGTTTTTCTCTTTGACATCTGATGGGAGGGCGTTCCACAGGGCGGGTGCCACCACTGAGAAAGCCCTCTGTCTGGTTCCCTGTAACCTCACTTCACGCAGGGAGGGAACCACCAGGCGGCCCTCGGAGCTGGACCTCAGTGTCCGGGCAGAACGATGGAGATGGGGACGCTCCTTCAGGTATACAGGACCGAGGCCGTATACCGTAAGTGGGATGTTGCAAGCCTGCAGACATCACTTTGAGCAAAGCCCCAACCAACAGCTGCAACACAGAATCACCGGAGAACTTTGCCTGTCACCCTGAATTCCATCCAGACGGTCCTGGGTTCAAATTCCAGTGGCATCTCCTCCCTGAGACTCTGGCCAGCCACTGCCAGCCAGTGTAGACATCACTAAGCCCCCATGGGCCAATGATTTCAGTACAAGCCACCCTCACCTGCTCACCTGTTCAAATCAGTCTATTTAGAACCCCCTTGAGGACTGGAATCTTGATTTCAGTTTTAGGGGACGGGCTGGATCTGAGTGCCAGAGAGCCCCCGTTTGGCATGCAAAATATCCCCGGCTCCATCCCTGAAGGGCTGGGAATTACCCCTGCCCTGAAACCCCTGGAGAGCCGCTGCTGCTGCCAGCCCGTGCTGGCAACACTGGTCTGGATGGAGCAAGGGTACCTGGCGCGTTCCTGCGTTCCTCCCTCCCCCTGAGCTCACCGTCTCTTTGTCCATCAGAAGCACCTTCATGCCTGTTCCGCTTTCCTCGATCATCTTCGCGATGTACTGCTTGACTGCAAAGACCACGTTCATTTTCCCTCCCGGTGCAAACCCCTTAATGTTTTGCAAAGAAATGCAACTAAACAGGATCCCCCTTTTTTTCCTTCCTTGCACCAAGCCTGGAAGAGCTACCCAATTTCTCTTCCTCTCTCTCTCTTGGCTCTTGCAATCCTGGGAGCTGTAGTTCTCCAGCTGACTCGGCTGCAGCTGCAAGCAGAGGGAGACTACATCTCCCAGAAGCCTCCGCGCCGCCGCCTCCCGGGCTGACATTGCAAGGCTGGGTTTGCAAAGGAGCAAATCTCATTCGGTGGTTCCGCAGCGCGCCGAGAGGGGGCGCTTTCAGACCGGAGGAGTCGCTGAGCGAGTTTGCTTTTCTTTCTCGGGAGTATTGATGCTTTTGAATTCTGGTGCTGGAGGAGACTTTTGAGAGTTCCATGGACTGCAAGAAGATCAAACCTCTCCATTCTGAAGGAAATCAGCCCTGAGTGCTCACTGGAAGGACGGATCCTGAAGCTGAGGCTCCAATACTATGGTCATGAGAAGAGAAGACTCCCTGGAAAAGACCCTGATGTTGGGAAAGATGGAGGGCACAAGGAGAAGGGGACGACAGAGGATGAGATGGTGGGACAGTGTTCTCGAAGCTACCAGCATGAGTTTGGCCAAACTGTGGAAGACAGGAGTGCCTGGCGTGCTCTGGTCCATGAGGTCACAAAGAGTCGGACACAACTAAACGACTAAACAACAACAAATGCTATGCTCCCAAGCAAAAAAAAAAAAAACTGGGGGGAGGAAGTATGCTATGCTCAGGGACGCGGGTGGCGCTGTGGGTTAAACCACAGAGCCTAGGACTTGCCGATCAGAAGGTCGGCAGTGCGAATCCCTGCGACGGGATGAGCTCCTGTTGCTCGGTCCCTGCTCCTGCCAACCTAGCAGCTCGAAAGCACGTCAAAGTGCAAGTAGATAAATAGGTACCACTCCGGCGGGAAGGTAAACGGCGTTTCCGTGCGTTGCTCTGGTTCGCCAGAAGCGGCTTAGTCATGACCCGGAAGCTGTACGCCGGCTCCCTCGGCCAATAAAGTGAGATGAGTGCCGCAACCCCAGAGTCGGTCACGACTGGACCTAATGGTCAGGGGTCCCTTTGCCTTTATGCTATGCTCTGCAATGCATCTGAATGCCGCTCGCTGGAAACACCAGGGGAGGAGGCTTGGGTCTTGGGTTCGGATCCTGCCCATGGGCTTCCCGTGGGGGCATTTGGTTGACTGCTGTGAGGACAGGATGCGGGGACTAGATGAGCCCCCCTTGGCCTGATCCTTACCTCCTTATGCACGGAAATTAAGTAATTTTCTTCCCGGGAGGGAAACCCATTGAACAGGGAGAGACCAGTGCCTGATTTAGGTTTGATGAGGCCCCAAGCTACTGAAGGTAATGGGGCCCTTTATATGTCCAGCTGTCCTTTGTCAACAACAAATTGTCCTGTTTTTGTGTGCTGAATATATGCTATATGGTAATTTATGGATCTAATAGGTATCTCATGCCATTTGCACATGTTGCCATGCAACCAGTCCATGCAGAATGTGTTGTTGTTTAGTCGTTTAGTCATGTCCGCCTCTTCGTGACCCCCTGGACCAGAGCACGCCAGGCCCTCCTGTCTTCCACTGCCTCCCACAGTTTGGTCTAACTCATGCTGGTAGCTTCAAGAACACTGTCCCACCATCTCGTCCTCCGTCGTCCCCTTCTCCTTGTGCCCTCCATCTTTCCCAACATCAGGGTCTTTTCCAGGGAGCCTTCTCTTCTCATGAGGTGGCCCAAGTCTTGGAGCCTCAGCTTCAGGATCTGCCCTTCCAGTGAGCACTCAGGGCTGATTTCCTTCAGAATGGAGAGGTCTGATTTTCTTGCAGTCCATGGGTCTCTCAAGAGGTACTCATATTAGAACCACTGAAATCAATGGCCACGACGGGCAACTTAGGTCCATTAATTTCAATGGGTATACGCCAAGCAGAACTTAGTTCACTGCAAGCTGAACAGTTTCATCCTGGTGTAAAAAGCTCAGCTATAGACAGGCAGAGATTGTTCATTGTTTAAGATCGGGAGGACGGCAAACTTTTAAACCCGCGAGCTAGCATTGTCCTCCAACCCCCCACCCCCAAAGATGCCTGCAGCTGCAGACAGACGTCCCCGTCGGATTAAACGCCACCTTGGGCAGATCCCAAAAATAAGCGAGTGACATCACCGGGGCACGACAGGGCGTCTTGCTCCTTCTGCGGCACGGTTTGTGTCTCCGGGGCTCAACCGCACGCCTCATTCTTGTGACCCCACAGAAGTAAATAGCGGCTGAGAGCAGACAGGGGTCTCTCTCCCCCCAAATCCCCCTGCTTGGTGGCTGGCAAGTTGCTCGGCTCGAATGCTGCCTTCGGGAAACTGCCTTCTTGCTAGAGTCCTAATCTCCTAACATTTTGGGATTAGGTGCTATTCCTGGCACGGCGGGACTGAATTAAAAGAAAGGAAGAAATAAAGGCGGCTTGTGTGTAATAAACCCAAGCCACCTTCACTTCCCCACCGCTATTTTTAGGTTTGCGTGGTTTCATGGATAAATCCTGCCCTCCTGTGCCACTGGAGCAACTCTTGTTTATCTTGCGATGGGCAAAGTGCACACAGTACAGTAGTTCCCTCCTGGGTCCTGCGGGGTTTTTACACAGCCGCTGTTTTTATTTTTTTCCCCAGCTGCCACGATGGAACTCACTGCTGAAGGAGGCCCTGCTGGCCAGCAAGCTTGGACGGCGTCAGAAAGAGAACTTGACAAATACAGTGGTACCTCAGGTTACAGACGCTTCAGGTTACAGACTCCGCTAACCCAGAAATAGTGCTTCAGGTTAAGAACTTTGCTTCAGGATGAGAACAGAAAGCGTGCTCCGGTGGCCCAGCAGCAGCAGGAGGCCCCAGTAGCTAAAGTGGTGCTTCAGGTTAAGAACAGTTTCAGGTTAAGTACGGACCTCCGGAATGAATTAAGTACTTAACCTGAGGTACCACTATGTCTAAGACATCCTGAAAAGCTCCTCCTTCCTTCTACTGGCTTTTTTATGTCACCTCTAAATTTTTCGCATTATCTTTGTCCATTTTGTATATTGTTCTTCTTCTTCCATCTTTGTCCATACAGTGTCTGTATACAGTACAAATAAATCTATCTGTACATACAAATCTTGTTGTCTGTCTATATTCATTTACAAATACTGTTAATTACCATAATTGCATTTTATATTTTAATTCATATTGTCATTAAGGCCCAGTAAAATTTCTTTTTATTTTCCCATTATGAGGTTTATTTCCATTCTACTGATTTCACTATTTCACCTTATCCTATATATGACATGTGGGACACGGGTGGCGCTGTGGGTTAAACCACAGAGCCTAGGGCTTGCCAGTCAAAAGGTCGGCGGTTTGAATCCCCACGATGGGGTGAGCTCCCGTTGCTTGGTCCCTGCTCATGCCAGCCTAGCAGTTCGAAAGCACGTCAAAGTACAAGTAGATATATTTATATCACTCCGTACCACTCCGGCGGGAAGGTAAACAGTGTTTCTGTGCGCTGCTCTGGTTCTCCAGAAGCGGCTCAGTCATGCTGGCCACATGACCCGGAAGCGGTACGCTGGCTCCCTCGGCCAGTAAAGCGAGATGAGCGCTGCAACCCCAGAGTCGGTCACAACTGGACCTAATGGTAAGGGGTCACTTTACCTTTATATATGACATAATTTTTTCCCCATCTGGATAGCTCAGGGGGTTAGAGCATATGCTGGTAACGCCAAGGTTGACGGTTTGATCCCTGTATGGAATGGCTGCGATATATCCCTGAATTTGAAGAGGGTTGGACTAGATGACCCTCAGGGTACCCCAATCCTGTGTTCCTATGAAATTCATGGAGGGTAAAGGCTATCGATGGCTCCCTTCCACAATGGCTATGCTCTGCCTCCACGGTCAGAGGCAGCGATGCCCCTGGATCCCAGTTGCTTGGAATTGCAGGAAAGGAGAGGGATCTTGTGTTCGAATCCTGCTTGCGGGTTTCCCACAGGCATATGGTTGGCCTCTGCGAGAACAGGGTTCTTGACTAGAGGAGGAGGAGGAGGAGGAGTTTGGATTTGATATCCCGCCTTTCACTCCCTTTAAGGAGTCTCAAAGCGGCTAACATTCTCCTTTCCCTTCCTCCCCCACAACAAACACTCTGTGAGGTGAGTGGGGCTGAGAGACTTCAAAGAAGTGTGACTGGCCCAAGGTCACCCAGCAGCTGCATGTGGAGGAGCGGAGACGCGAACCCGGTTCCCCAGATTACGAGACTACCGCTCTTAACCACTACACCACACTGGCTCTCTGCAGGACTCTTCCTTTGTTGTTTAGTCGTGTCCGACTCTTTGTGACCCCCTGGACCAGAGCACGCCAGGCACTCCTGTCTTCCACTGCCTCCCGCAGTTTGGTCAAACTCATGCTAGTAGCTTCAGGAACACCATCCAACCATCTCGTCCTCCGTCGTCCCCTTCTTCTTGTGCCCTCCATCTTTCCCAACATCAGGGTCTTTTCCAGGGAGTCTTCTCTTCTCATGAGGTGGCCAAAGTTTTGGAGTCGCAGCTTCAGGATCTGCCCTTCCAGTGAGCACTCAGGGCTGATTTCCTTCAGAATGGATAGGTTTGATCTTCTTGCAGACCATGGGACTCTCAAAAGTCTCCTCCAGCACCGTAATTCGAAAGCATCAATTCTTCGGCGATCAACCTTCTTGATGGTCCAGCTCTCACTTCCATACATCACTACTGGGAAAACCATAGCTTTGACTATACGGACCTTTGTTGGCAAGGTGATGTCTCTGCTTTTAAAGACGCTGTCTAGGTTTGTCATTGCTTTTCTCCCAAGAAGCAGGCGTCTTTTAATTTCGTGACTGCTGTCTCTTCTTACATACTTCTAAAAATATCACATTTGTTCCCCCCAGGTGTGAGAGTTTTAGTACAGTAAATCAGCTCCAAATTGCCCCGTGAATCCTGCTCTGCTAGATTCAACCCCAGCATAATGGCAAACGGCTGCTAGGAAAAAGTGTCTCCCTGAGACCATATATTTGAAAACCCTGTCGCTAACAATGCTATAAAGGAAACATTTACAAGGAAACAAGGCAGCAATTAAAACGACGAGCCCTTTCCGGATACGA